TCTCGGCTGGACTGTCCTACCACACAATTCAGATTTGGCATTTTCTGAATTCCATCCCTTCAGGCTGATAAAAGAAGGTTTGTGGCAACATATTCTTGGCAACAGCGCCTACACAGCAGCTATGAAACAGTGGGTCACCTCCACTAGTGCAGATTTTTACAAGTGCAGCATGCAGGGTGCTGTTCACCATTAATGAAAATGTATAGCTAATGGGGATGATTGTGTTCATAGTATGGTTTGAGTTGGAATGGAACTCAAGGATCATCAGGGCTCCAATCCCCTAGCCCTAACAGCTTCCCAGGAGATCTCATCCAACAGTGCCTTAAACAGCCTGAAGTTCAGGGTCCTGGCTTCACACTTTGCCAGGCCTACGTAAGTCAAGATCACAAACTCAACCAGAGCATGGTCGCTGCAGCCCACGCTGCCTCTGATCTTAATGTCTTTAATTATCTCCTCCACACTAGCGAGTGCCAGGTCCAGCAATGCTCCCCCTCTGGTCAGTCTGTCAGATACCTGAACCTGAAAGCAATCATCAGTGAATAATCCTGGATTATCTGCAGCTCGCAGAAATATTAAAAAATTGTGTTTTGTAACTCAGAATTTGCTCTATCAAAGTGTTATTGTGCTCTTTGCATCTTTTAGCTTCTGTGGAGAAAAATAATAAGCTATTACTTTCAGAGCAAGCTATGTATATATGGAAGAAGAGGACGAGAAGGAAAAAAGACCGACGTTGCTCAGACAGTAACACTGTAAAAAATATATTCCTACTTCAGGGATGTCAACTAATTTTTAAAATAATACTGCATAAAATATTTCCACACATTATATCTCCTTCATGCCAATGAACAAATCTACTTGTAACTAATCAGCTGAAAAGCATAAGTGCAGTAGCTGCGGAGATCATTCAAACAGTTGTAATTAAAAGTTACAAACAGTAAAGTGCTTTTTTTATAAAAGTAACAATGGTATTTCCATTTATAATTGCTTTCTGTGAAGATCACAAACGTCTTCACAACAGAATGAAGGACATCAATTGGTACTTCCCAATAGTTAAAACCTATACAAGCAAATTCCTTTTAAAAATCACAGTGTTATAAATATAGGCACTCAGTAGGAAACTTGTC